CAACCTTCCTTCTGAGGAGTGGCTAGTGGGTTTGAACCGCCAGCCTTCTGGTTAGCAGTCAAGTGCCTTAGGCACTATGCTACCAGAGCTCCCCCACTAAAGACTACATATTGTAAAATGTCCAGACTAGGCAAATCTTTAGAAAGTAGATTAATGGTTGCTTAGGTCTCTGGGGGCAGAGGGGAAAAAGAAGTAACAGCTAATGGGTACAAGTTTCTTATTGGAATGATGAAATGTTCTCAAATTGATTGTGGTGATGTTTGTAAAACACTGTAAATATACTGAAACCGATTGAGTTGTATACTTTAAATGTTGTTGCTAGTTGTTATCCAGTGGATTCTAACTCACGGCGACCCCCTGTGTGCAGCATAGAGCTGTGCTCCACAGGGCTTTCAAGGCTGTGACCTTCTGGAAGTAGATTACCAGGCCTGTCTCCTGAGGTGCCTCTGAGTGGGTTCAAACACCAGCCTTTCAGGTAGCAGTTGAGTGTTTAACTCTTCACCCTACCCAGGAACTCCAATGAGTTGTATGGTATATGAACTATATCGCAATAAAGCTGTCAAGAATATCATCTCTGGGCTAACTGTTGTCCATGAGAGAAGAGAGAATTCTATGAACTGAAATCCTTTTTCCTTTCCAGCACCTCTAGCAAATGGAAGAACATCCCATGGGTGAACTGTACAAAGATCACAGAGACAAAGTGTGACTTCACAGCAGCCAGCCTTTTAGAGGGTTTTCCACGGCATTTCAATGTCTCTTTGCGTATTCGAGCTCAGCTGGGAGAGCTCGTTTCTGCCTGGGCAACGGTGCCTTGGTTCCAACACTACCGGAATGGTAAGAGACCTTGGGTGTTCAACTTCCTTGCAGAGTGTCTGGACTATCTTCCCTCACTTCTTGCAGTGAACAGTATTGGTTCCAAGCACCTCAGTCCTCTTACCCAAACAAGTGGGTATGATGGTGAAACTCTAGTACCTGCCACGGAGGCTGATGCCAGAGGGTAATGTGATTTGCCAGACCAAACCTACTTCCCTCGAGTGGATTCTGACTCATAGTGACCCTATGTGACAGAGTAGGACTGCCCCATCTTTCTCCCTTTAAGTGGCTGGTGGGTTTCAAACTGCTGACCTTTGGTTAACAGCCCAGTGCTTAACCATAGCACTGCCAGAAGGGTCAGCAAACTACTGCTGCAGGTCAGATCCAGCCGACTGCCTGCTTTTGTAAACAAAGTTCTGTTAGAACACAGGTATAGCCATTTGTTTACAATCTTGTCAAAGGCTGCTTTTGTGCTACAATAGCAGTTAAGTAGTTGGCAGCAGAAACCACCAAGCCTAAATTTACTATCTGGCCATTTATACTGGAATATGTCTGCTGATCTCTGTGCTAGACAGGATACTAAGCATATTGGCTTCATTGACCACAGTTAAGTGTTTTGTCACAACTTTTTTTTATCCAGGACTATTCAGAAGAGCAGGTCTTTCAGTCCTGCCCTTTCAGCATGTTTTGGTTACCTCTAGTGCCACTCTGGGAGCTCTGGTAGCATAGTGCCTAAGGCACTTGACTGCTAACCAGAAGGCTGACGGTTCAAATCCATGAGCCACTCCTCGGAAGGAAGGTTGGGCAATCCTACTTCTGTAGTGATACTGCCTCAGAAACCCAAGGAGGGGTCTCTCTGAGTCAGGGCCTCGGAAACCCAAGGAGGGGTCGCTATGAGTCAGGGCCGACTCGATGGCAAATAACAACAACAACAACAACAGTGCCACTCTAACGGAAATATACCACAAATGGGAATGGCTTGAACAAACAGGATTTAATTCTCTTACAGTTTTGGAAACTAGAAGTCCGAGTTCAAAGTGCCAGGCTCTAGGGGCTGGGTGAAAGCCCTTTGACCTTGGGTTTCCGCTCTGCCTCTTGTTCCCCGCCCACTGAAGCTAGAGGCATCTCTTCACTCAGCTGCTGGCTGCTGAGGCTGATAAACCCAAGATTGACAAGTAAAAAGGCACTGTCCCAATGTTACCAAACCACACATCAGGCCATTAATTCAAGTCCATTGAAAGTCCCCAGATTATCAGGGCAACACAGCAGGCTGCTAAACAATGACTTGGCTACATGCAGGATTCAACCATGCCACCCACTGGAGACCTTCCTCAAAGTTGTTTCTTGTACACTGGAAGCAGACCACATCCCTAAAGCAGCTACTCAGCTGCCCAAATAGATTCCAACATGGAGTTGATTACCAATATCACCATGGGGAATAACTACATCCAGCTGCCCAGCCACTCAACCAGGCCCAGCCAAGTTGACCCACAAACTTAACTACCACACAGCAGTTCAGTGATTATTCCTGGCTGGCATCCATGCTCTTTTGCCCACTTTCATGCAGGAACAGACATGTACAAGTCTAGAGAATACACCCTACCATGCGGAGGGGCCTGCAGCAGACAGTTAGCAATGCCAGTCGGCATGCTTTCCCATATCTGCTCACTTAGCTGCTGAAAGAGAAGCTCAAACATGTGCACTGGCATTTGTGCAAAGAGTTAATGACAGAGCTTTTTGTCGCTAGCAACCAATCCTTTCATACAGCTTGGCTGGCAGTGGGCCTGGCCCAGCCCTGACTCTGCTACTGGGCATTGTCTGGACTTAGCTTCTCCACCACAACAGATGAGATCAAGGACACAAGTGTAAGCTCTGTAGGGACATGTCACTTTTACACAGAGAGCAGCTTGGCAAAACCATGTGCCTAACTAACCCTAGCCAACTTGGAAGAGGCCAGGAAAGAGTGGACAGTGTAAGAAAACTCTTCCCCACTATTCTAATCGCATACTGCTAATAAGTCATTAATGGGACCATCTGCATGTATAGAGTATACAAGGACTGATCTCTTAGGACCCACCTTGTACTTTGATCTGAGTTCCTTGGGTTAATTACTCCATGTAAACCCTTACTTAATAAATGCTGTATCTTTCACTTACAGCACATAATGACTCACAGTCCTTGGCTGTCCTGTGAATTACATGAAGAGCCTGAATGTAGACTTACCCAGTTGAACAATTGCCATGGAGTCAATTCCAACTCATGGTGCCCTCACGTGTGGCAGAGTGAAACTGTGCTCAATAGAGTTTTCATTGGCTGATTTTCCAGAAGTAGATTGCCTGGCCTTTCCTCCTATTTTTCAGTTCTGTGTTGAAACATGAAAGGAGCTCTGGTGGTGTAGTGCTTAAGGCATTTGACTGCTGACCAGAAGGTTGGTAGTTCAAATCCACCAGCCACTCTGCAGAAGGAAGATGGGACAATCTATTTCCATAAAGATTTACCATGTTGGAAACCCAAAGAGGGTAGCTGTGAGTCAGAATCAACTCAATGGCAATGAGGTTTTTTGTGTTTTTTTGGGTTTTTTATGTTGAAACATAGTATTGCATTAGGCTAAACACAGAGACAAATGCATTTAAAAGTTTGTAAATACCATTTTTGCTCATTTACATTGAAATTATAAATAATAAAATCTTCTTCCCTCTGCATGAAACCTTTGGTTAACTTTCCAGCTCTGTTTCTCTGGAAATTTGATCAAGGCATCATGATGACAGTGTCCTAGGCAGCACTGTTTATGGTGAAAATGACTTCTGCTGGATACACTGCATCTGAGCTAGGGAAAATTAAATACTGGTCAGAAACCATATCTTTAGGCTTTGCTGAGTGCTGCAGTGATTTTTGTAACTAGGCATGTCCCAAGGATTGTGAGGCTGGCACAGGACTGGGCTATGTTTCATTATGTCATATATGGGGTCGCTATGAGTCGGAGACAACTCGAAGGCATCGAACGACACAACAACAGGCATGTCCCTTGTGGGGACCCTGGAGACTTTCTGTGGAGTTGTTATACAAGACATTGGCTCTTGTGATTCTTGATCCAGAGAAGCTCTTAAACCTGCCAAGTGTGGATCTCAGCTCCTAGCACCTGAGCTCCTCCTGGGGGCCAGAGAATCTCACTGCTGGCTACCACGTGCACTGCCACAAGGACTCTTCCTTCCAAGAAAAAACAGCCCTTGTGCTGCACTGCATCTGCATTAGGCTCCCTGTCCTGGCTCCATCCAAGTAAATCTGGTACCCAGAGTAATCTTGGGTGTCTGAATACTTTGTTGAACCTCAAAAGAAGATACCCGGGTTGACAGTGCATATAGAAACAAATAAATGCATACATGGTTTTTTTCCTCTTCTATTTCAGTTACCGTTGGGCCTCCAGAAAATACTGAGGTGACACCAGGAAAAAACTCACTTATCATCAGGGTCTCCGCTCCCTTTGACATCAATTCATCCATGGTCACTTTTCGGTATTATGTCTATTACTGGGAAGAAGCCGGAACCCGAGAGGCAAGAGCATTTTTCTCTTTTGACTTTCTTTTCTTTAGAATTTCTGATTTAGCAGGAGAAAGTAAACTTTCAAATGGGCAAGGAGAGCAGGCTCTCCTCACAGTGTAAGACCTGAGTACCTTTGAATCTGCCTTTCCAAAACCTGTTGCTCTACTCAATGGAGGGACACTTCTCTTCTTCAGCCAGGTCAATCTGAAGGGCCCCTCTTGGTCTGACATCACACCGTTTGGGGGGTCCAGATGTTGCTGAGAGTTCATTCATGGGGCCTTTGTCATGCTCTGGAGTTTGGGGGAAGGTTCAGTTAGCCTGTTTATGCAACAAAAAATCCACCACTGTCATCTGCAAGGTTAACTGTATGCATGTCTCTGGTCTGAAGCCTCTACCCCTGGGTCTCCATAAACAAAATGTTCTAGGGCTACGATGACTTGGAAAGCCATGGATATGATCTGTTTCATCTGTGAGTCTGTGTGGCAGGGGTCCATCCCCAGGTTCAGTGATTTTTTCAGAAGGTCTCACAGGACCCAGTGTACAGTTGTACTTGTGATTATAACATATTACAGTTTCATTGTACAAAGCAATGGAAATTGCTTTTAGGTACAAAGCAAAATCAGCAAAGGGAAAAGGCACATGAGGCAAAGTCTGAAGGAAATCAGACAAAAGCCTTTCCCAGTAGAGTTACACTCACCAAAAACTCACTGCCATCAAGTCGGATCCAACTCATAGTGACTCCTCCTTGGGTTTCTGAGACAATATCACTGTGGAAGTAGATTGCCCAACCTTCCTTCCAAGGAGTGGCTGGTGGGTTTGAACCTCCAGCCTTCTGGTTAGCAGGCAAGTGCCTTAGCCACTGTGCCACCACAGAGTCACACTGAACTTACTTAATTCTTCCAGCAACAAGTTATGGCAACACATGGGACACATCTACCAGGGAAGCTCATTGGAGGTTCAGTGCCCAGGGGTTTTCTTAGGAGTCCCTCTGCCAGCACATACCCAAATTTCAGACTCCCAGAAGGAAAGGTGTTCAACATAAACCACATTGTTTGCACAAAAAGCATAGGCACAGTGAGCCACCCTTATCAGTTAGAGAATGGTGAGAAAACACCTAAAATCCAAGTTCCCAGATGCCAGTCAAGAGCCAGCCTCACAAGGGAGCCTTTCTAAGGAGAGCAATCTCAAGGCCACCATGAGAACTCTTCTGCACAGTCAAAAAGTTTTCTAATGTTGATTACCAGGGATGGGAGGGGAGGAGCAGAAACACCGCAAAAAAAAAAAAAAAAAAAAAAAGTTTTCTAAATTTTGAAAATGCTAAATGGCTGCTGAAATTATGCCAAAGGGAACTCTTTCCTTAAAAATTGCTTTATGTGGTATCATGAGCCAAAAAAAAAAAACAATTTTCTACCCTGGCAGTCAGTCCATCACCATTAAACAGAAGAAAAATTAAAAAAAAATCTGTTACCCTACTCTTCATAGATAATACAACTATATTTATATTTTAAACAATAAGATCATACTATATATACTGTTGAATAGCCTTTTTTTTTTCAGTCAGTAGTATAACAGCTTCATCATTCCACGTTGTTGAGTGTGTGTTATACTACCAGTTCAGATGGCTCTAGCATATTCTGTTGCATCTCAAAAGGAGATTTTTCAAGAAATGTTACCTTGTCATAATATGGTATATCTGTTTCTTGTTTCCCTATGGAACAATGACAGCTTTGTCAAGCACAAGAGTGACACAGGCATGGGGCCAACAAGGCCCAAGGGAAGGCTGTTGTTGTTGTTGTTATGTGCCACTGAGTCAGACCTGACTCATAGCAACCCCTCCTTGGGTCTCTGAGGCAGAATCACTGCCCAACCTTCCTTCCGAGAAGTGGCTGGTGGGTTTGAACCTCCAGCCTTCTAATTAGCAGTCAAGTGCCTTAGGCACTATGTCACCAGAGCTCCTCAAGGGAAGGCAGCAACAGGGAAATGCAGTGAGCTTGATATCTAGCTCTTTCCTGTTGACATAAATCACTTTGACCAAAATTGTAGGCAACAACAACAAAATAAGTTACAGTAAAAATAAAACTGCAGAATCAGCACACTGCAGTTAAAACTAGAAGCAGGTTGGGATTTAAATGAAAATTATTTCCTAGAATAATTTTTTTCTTTGTTTGCTAACTAACTTGAAGTATCTAGATTATGTTAACCATGAATATAAAATGTTCATTTTTAAAGGAGAAAATTTTATCCTAGAAATTAGGACTTGTGAAATTCCAGTCCCAGACCCTTGGTGACCACAGTAGGACCTCTGACACCTAACAGCCAGAAACACAGCCCAAAGTCTGAGCACGTTCCTTACTCCATTTACACTCTTTTAGAACTGCATCTTCTTATTCTGTAGTTAGCTGTGTTACCTGTGTGTTTGAGGAAACATATTAGAAAAGATGAAAGTAACATGAACATGTCTAGTTTGGCGATTCACATGTGTGGTTGTTGGTGTCCTTTAAATAGGTTAAAGGCCCTTTCAAGAACAATTTCATTTTGTTGGATGGCTTAAAACCCTTAAGTGTATACTGTTTACAAGTCAAGGCGGAACTGGTTTGGCCAACACAAGGCATCTCTCGACCTGGGCATTTAAGTAATACATCTTGCTGCAAGACAACAGCAGATGGTAAAACATACTTTTTTATGTCCTTTCTAAGCTGTGAAAAGATACTCCTAAAATAGTGAAATCAGGGAATGCTTATTAAGTAAGGGTGGTGGGGTGAAGACAGAGACGGGACTAAGAAGAGAGCAGTTGTCTGTAGGAATAATGAACTTGTGCTGAGCTGTACAGTGGCAGAAGCTGCCAAACAGCTGCTAGTCATAGGATTGCTTTGATTAGCTATTTATTTATGTATATGGTAGGGGGTGGAGTATCTGTCCGTTTTACTGGAACATGAATGCTATTGATGTTAGTGGTGGGTAAAAAAATTAACTGATGTTTGTATCATGTGTGGAGATAGTTATTTCTTTCACTTTTATGTCATCTTTTTAGCTGCTACTGAGTTTTATCAAGCCATCCTGATCTCTTTGGGAACCTTTCTGACAGTGGGATTGCTGGTGGGACCCTGTTTGTTCCTGGTCCTGAGATACAGAGTCCTGGTTAAATACTGGTTTCGCTCGCCACCTAAGATCCCATTACAAATAGAAGAGGTATGTGAGCACACCCCCAAATGGGTGACGTGTCAGTGCATCATTGCCCCAGATCACACCAAAGAGTACAGCAGTGGACAGAGCTGTGACCATTGAGCTTTGAGTTGAAAAAATAGCACAGTGTCTTAGTCCCTTAGGGCTGCCATGACAAAATACCACAAAGTGGGTGGCCTTAAAGAACAGGGATTTATTGTCTCACAGTTCTGGAGACTAGAAGTCCAAACCACTATGTAAATTCCTTCTGAGGGCTGTCAGAGAGCAGCTCCTCCATGCCTCTCCACTAGCTGCTGGGGGCTGCCAGCAATGCTTTGTGTTCCTTTGCTGCTTGTAGATGCATCTTCATACAGCCTCTTCCTCCTTCATATATAAGCCTTTCTCCATATCTATTCTCCCCTTTTCACAAGACACCATTCAGAAAGAATTTAGGATTAGGACCCACCCTACTCTAGTATGACCTCATTTAACTTAACTGATAAAAGGAAAACGCTGTTTTTAACAGGGTCACATTCATGGATGCAGGGATTAGGACATCAGCATACCTTTTTGTGAGACACAATTTTTTTTTAAATTCAATTTAATTTTAATACTTAAATTTTAATTCTATTATATATTTTTATTTTATTGTGGTAAAAATATACACAACAGAACATCCTCTGGTTCAATCATTTCTACATACATAATTCACTGACATGGATTACATTCTTCATGTTGTATAACTGTTCTTACTATCCTTTTCCAAATTACTGTATCACCATTAATATAAACTCAATGTCCCCTAAGCAAAAACTCTTGGGGACACAATTTAATCCATAACACATAGGATTGGTGAAAAAGGTGGTTGGCAGGACAAGAACAGATATATGCACACCCATGTTCATTGCAGCACTATTCACAATAACAAAAAGATGGAAACAACCTAGTTGCCCATCAACATAAGAATGAATAACCAAACTATGGTACAAACACACAATGGAATACTATGCAACACTAAAGAATAATGTAGAATCTGCAGAACACCACATCATGTGGATGAACTTGGGGGACATTATGCTGAGTGAAATAAGTCAATCACAAAAGGACAAATATTGTATTAGTTCATTATTGTAAAAAATCAAGGAAAGATTTATATATGGAACGAAACTTTCTTTGTTGGTTACCGGGGGTGGGAGGGGAAGGAAGAGGAGGGAACACTGCAAAAATAAAATAATAATTAAAAAAAAAAAAAAGGTGGGCTGGGCTGGCCAAGAGGTGGGCTAGTAGGTCCCTGTCCTGAGGCAATTCATGAGTCTTCCCTGTCTGAGGACGGGCCCCAGGGACTTTGGCTGCAGGTTGTGGAGGCACACACTCCCAACTGTGAAGGCAGAGAAGGTAGTAATCAAGAGTACACACTAGGAGCCAGACAGGGTGCACCTGGGAGGATTCTGCGGCGGCACTGCACTGGAGCTCCTGCACAAGGCCTCACTCACCACAGCGCTCAATAGATGTCACTAGTATTTTAAAGGACTTGAGAAAGAAAAGTGGGATGGATCTTGTGAAAAGTTTTGTTGACCTGCATTGACCCAGCCACCTGAGGCTCTGGGAGGAGGCCAGGCCTTCTGAGGACATAGGCAGGACATTCCTAGAGGCTTGCTGAGAGGAGAGCATTTAACAGCATTTGCTTCCAAGGTTTTTACATTGTTTTTCAGCAAATAGGGGTAAAGCTATTAGAAATAAAATCTTAATCCGTTATAGCTAGATTGAGTAGATGTTAGATAAGTCTCCCTGCATGGAGTAAATGGTTAAGCACTCACCTACTAACCAAAAGGTTGGTGGTCTGAACCCACCCAGAGGTGCTTAGAAGAAAAACTGTAGATTTTCTCAGCCATAAGAAACCACTTTACTCCCTAAATTTCCACAGCACTTCCACACTCTTCCACTTTGATTATATACTTTATTTTTATCTTTGTTGTTTATGTATATATTTTACATGCCTTTCACATATTTTTCACCATTCATCTGTCAGTGTGGCATACTGTGGTGGTCTGCTTGTTGCTGTCAGGCTGGAAGCGATGCCACCAGCATTTCAGATACCAACAGGATGACCATGGTGGACAGGTTTCAGTGGAGCTTCCAGACTAACAAATTATAGATGGCATACTTCCAAAAAATCAGCCATTGAAAGCTCTGTGGAGCACAGTTCTGCCTGACACACGTGGGGTCACCATGAATCAGTCAACTCACCAGCAACTGGTTTGGACTTTTTTTTTTTTTTTTCCAAAAGATAAGGACTAAGTCTATAAAGACAGTCACTTCTAGAAAGAACTGAAATCACTTGTTTTCCTTTCTCTGCTACAATTTTTTAAAGTACAGTCATATGAATTCCATAAATATTAACCTCCCAACTAGAACCTTGCTAGTCAATATTTTCACAAAATATAACAGCTTTCCACAGGCCTCGGAAGTTTGCTTGCATTAATAATCTCTCTCACACACTAGAACTACCAGCTGGGCTCTAATAAGTAAATTTACTACTAACCGTTCCTCACATAGCGTGAATGTAAAACAGCAAGTCTTTTGATTCACTTTTGTGGCAAAGTGTGAAAAATATTTACCGAAGGTCAGAGGAGTTACATGGAATCATGAATCATGTTTCACATGTACTTTTGAGGGTTTCGCAAGTGTTCATGATTTCTTTTGTTCCTCTTTTAACCAGTCAGCTCTAAGCATCTTGGATGTCAGTATCTTTCAGCATTTCCAAGAGTTTGTTGTTCTTAAGTGCCACCTAGTCGATTTCGACACATAGCAACCCTGTGTACAAGAGAACAAAATACTGTCTATTGCTGTACTATGATCAGCATTGTTGCTATGTTTGAGCCCATTGTTGCTGCCACTGTGTCAACCATCTTGTTGAGGGTCTTCCTCTTTTTCGCTGACCCTCCACTTTACCAAGCATAATATCCTTCTTTACAGGCTAGACCTCCCCTGACAACATGTCCAAAGTACGTGAGACAAAATCTCACCATACTCACTTCTAAGGAACATTCTGGCTATACTTCTTCCAAGACAGATTGTTCTTCTTTTGGCAGCCCATGTTGTTGTGTTAGGTGCCATCAAGTTGGCTCTGACTCATAGTGACCGTACATACAACAGAATGAAACACTGCCCAGTCCTGCGCCAGCCTCACAATCCTTGCTATACCTGAGCCCATTGTTGTAGCCACCTGTCAATCCATCTCATTGAGTGCCTTCCCCTTTTTTGCTGACCCCCCTCTGGTAGCATAGTGCTAAGGCACTTGACTGCTAACCAGAAGGCTGGCAGTTCAAACCCACTAGCCACTCCTTGGAAGAAAGGTTGGGCAATCTACTTCCATAGTGATACCACCTCAGAAACCCAAGGAAGGGTCACTATGAGTCGGGTCCAACTCAATGGCACATAACAACAACAACCACTTTACTAAGCATAATATCCTTCTCCAGGGAATGTTCCCTTCTGACAATGTGACAAAAGTAGGTGAAATAAAGTCTGGCCATTCTCGCTTCCAAGGAGCATTCTGGCTACACTTCCTCCAGGACAGATTAGTTAGTTCTCCTGGCTGTCCATGGTACTCTCAGTATTCTTCGCCAGCACCACAACTCAAAAGCATCAACTCTTCTTTGGTCTTCCTTATTCATTGTCCAGCTTTCACATGCATATGAGACAATTGAAAACACCATGACTTGGGTTAGGTGCACCTAAGGCATCTGACTACTAACCAGAAGTCTGGCAGTTCATACCCCCAGCCACTCCTCAGAAGGAAGGTTGGGCAATCTACTTCTGTAGTGATATTGCCTTGGAAACCCAAGGAGGGGTTGCTGTGAGTCGGATCCGACTCGACAGCAGTGCATTAGTCTTCAAAGAGACATCTTTGTTCCTCAGCACTTTAAAGAGGTCTTTTCCAGCAGATTTGCCCAGTGCAATACATCCTCTGATGTCTTGACTGCTCCTTCCGTTGGTGTTGATTGTGGAATCAAGTAATATGAAATCTTTGACAGCTTCAGTCGTTTGTCCATTTATCATGATGCTGCTTATTGATCCAGTTATGAGGATTTTCATTTTCTTTATGTTGAGGTATAATCTCTACTGCATACTGTAGTCTTTAATCTTCATCAGTAAGGGCTTCAAGTCATCCTCACTTTCAGCAAGCAAGGTTGTGTTGTCTGCATATCACAAGTTGTTAATGGGTCTTCTGGCAGCCCATAGCACATTTAATAATCTTCACCAACACCATAATTCAAATGTATCAATTCTTCAGTCTTCCTTATTCATTGTCCAGCTTTTGCATGCATATGAGGTGACTGAAAATACCATGGTTTGGGTCAGATGTACTTTAGTCCTCAAAGTGACTTCCTTTGCTTTTTAACACTTTAAAGAGGTCTTTTGCAAGAGATTTACCCAAGGCAGTATGTTGTTTGATTTCTTGACTGCTGCTTACATAGGCATTGATTGTGGATCCAAGTAAGATGAAATCCTTGACAACTCTAATATTTTCTCCATTTATCATGATGTTGCTTATTGGTAGTTATGAGGATTTTTGTTTTCTTTATGTTGAGGTATGATCCATACTGAAAGCTGTCATCTTTGATCTTCATCAGTAAGTGCTTAAAGTCCTCCTCTTTGTAGCAAGCAAAGCTGTGTCATCTGCATATCTCAAGTTGTTAATGAATCTTACTGTAATCTTGATGCTACATTCTTCTTCTTATAGTCCAGCTTCTTGGATTATCTGCTCAGCATACAGATTGAGTAAATATGATGGAAGGATACCACCCAGACACACTTCCTGATTTTAAACCATGCAGTGTCCCCTTGTTATTTTTAAACTGCCTTTTGATCTATGTGCAGTCTTCAAAATGTTACCTATATTTCGTTATAATCCACACATAGTCAGTAGCCTTTGCATAGTCGATAAAACACAGGTATATATCTTTCTGATATTCTCTGCTTTCAGCCAAGATCTTTCTGCCATCAGCAATGAATGATTTCTCTCATTCTACATCCTCTTCTGAATCTGGTTAGAATATCTCTGTTCTCTGTTGATATACTGCTGCAACAGTTTTTGAATTATCTTCAGCAAAATTTTATTTGCATGTGATATTGATATTATTCAATAATTTCTGCATTCTGTTGTACCCCCCCCTTTTTTTTTTTTTTGGAATGGATAAAAATAGGGATCTCTTCCAGTTAGTTGGCCAGACAGCTGTCTTTCAAAATGTCTTGGCATAGTCAAGTCGAGTGAGAGCCTTCAGTGTTGCATCTGTTTGTTGAAGTATCTCAGTTGATACTCCATCAATTTCTGGAGACTTTTTTTTTTTTTTTTTTTAATTTGCCAGCACATACAAATACATATGTAGAATTATCCTTCACCAAACCTATATATACTCATAAGTGTACTCCCATTCACCTTCCCACATCTCTTCAGCTTGGATGTCTATGTATCTACTCACAGATTATTGTTATAACTGTTATTGCATGATTGTGTGTGCAATAGTATTTACCTTTGTTGTCTTTTATTCTCATGACACTGCCATTGCCTTAGTCATGTCCTGCTGACCTCCCCCTTCACCCAATTTAGTCAGTAGCCTTTGCATAGTCGATAAAACACAGGTATACATGTCTACTCTTTAGTTAGTGATTTTCCCTTCCTCCGCCTCCCATCCCTAGTAACCGTCAAACAATGTTTCTTTTTATATGTAAACCTTTTCTTGACTTTTTATAATAGTAGGCTCATACAATATTTGTCCTTTTGTAATTGACTTAGTTCACTCAGCATAATATCCTCCAGGTTTATCCATGTCATGAAGTGTTTCACTGATTCTTCATTACTTTTTATGTGGAGCAGTTATACTCTGTGACATATAGAGTTGCCATGAGGCAGAACTGACTCACTGGCAAAGGTTTGGGTTTGGGTTTTTTTTTTTTTTTTTGGTACCAAGTGTAGCAAGAAGAACTGGCTCTTCCTCCGTTAAGCTTTTTCACCCTTTGAGAGTCTTCACTTAGTTGGCCCTTTGTTTAGTATTAAAATTATTCATGAGATGACGAGTGCTAGGGCTTTAGAAGTTGTGTCATTGGTGACAGAGTAGGAAGTTATATGTGAATAAAATATAACCATGCCAGTTAATACAATCTTGGTTTTCCACCTTTTCAAGTATTTAAAAGACCCGGTTCAACCTGTTTTGGAGGCTTTGGACAAGAACAACTCGCTGAAGGAAGACGCCTGGGACTCTGTGTCCATCATTTCGACTCCAGAAAAGGAGCAAGAAGATGCTCTCTAAAGCACTTTGAACCAAAGCACTGGCCAAAGCACAGCCACCCCCAGTAAGAAGACACTGAGCCAATGAGCTGCTGATATTCCCATCTGGGCTTTACAGAGACCAGTACTCTACGTTCCTGCTTCTGACGAGGCTGTATCAGCATCTGGTGAGACACAATAGAGCTGGAGGAGAGAGAAGCTTACTTTTTTTTCCTTTAAACCAAAAATTTTCTAAATCACCAGTTCCTAGAATGATTCTTCAAGATATTCCAGAAAAATTAAGGTTTTTTTCTTAAACACTAAAAAGGCAAGTAATTATTTTTTACCAAGATATCAGCGGTACATCTTGGATCTTTTTTTTTCAGTGTTGGCTGAAATGGAGTTTGGAGAGGAGAGAATGCTAGGCTGGATGGACTAGTGGCTGATTCTGTCTTGGACCCTCGAAAGGAGGTGGGGACCTTGGGCAGGTCTCAGAACCTCTCCAGCCTATTCCAGCCAGGGTACCAAAGGGACCCTTCACATCCGGTCTGATGATTTTTTAAAAATGTGATTAATCCTGTGCATGTTTTCCTTGTAATTTAAGTGTTTTTTAAGCTAGAAATAAAAGACTTTTTAAAAACTCCATGTGAAGTCTTTTCTCCCCACTTTGCCTTCTTTATTTGGGCCCATTTTCTGCACAGTTTCAACTTTTTAGAATTAGTACATCCATCTTAAATAATACCTGGTAAAGCTGTTGAGGCCTCGTGGGACACAGCATAATCTCTCTGAGTGTGTCACTTAATTCCTTGAAAAGTTATATAAGGGGATTTTCAGAAGCTGCATGAGCACTTCATTTGTATGTGGTGAGTCATGCTGTTTTGACCAAGGCAAGCTTTGTGAGCAGTCAAGATAATTAGCTAATAGATTAGAATGACATCCACGAAGCTCACAAGCCATCTGATGGTACCAGAATAGGTGAGCTTTTTGGTCCAAAGTATATATATTTATTTTAAACCTCATTTCTAAGACTTAACATTGAAGACTGGCAGTTGAAACCCACCAGCCACTCCTCAGAAGGAAGACAGGGCAATCTACTTCCATAGAGATACCACCTCAGAAACCCAAAGAGGGGTTTCTGTGAGTCGGATCCAACTCAATGGCAGTGAGTTTGGTTTTTTGGTTTTAACATTGAAGAAGCAGAGGTATGGCTTCATTCCACCTTCCACACACTGTGACATAGTTACTCGATGGTCAGCTTTACAAAGAAGCCCCTGCAGGCAGATTTATCTTGATAGTGCTTGGGAATCAGGCTTGTGGGAAAAGGAGCTGCTGACTGCAGGTATGTGAAGCTTATAGCACAGGGTGATGGAACTACCCATTCCAGGTTGGAACCTCATACCATAGATGCCACTGATAAGGAATTAGCTGTTGGCTAACTCTCTAAGCATTGTGCACCCTGCCATTCAAGGTAGAGATAAATAGCTAGCATCTAGTCAACTCTAACTCATGGCAACTTTATGTACAACACAACAAAGCATTGCCCGCTCCTACATCGTCACAATCGCTCAAGCCCATTGTTGCAGTTGTGCCAGTCCATGTCAATCCATCTCGTTGAAGGCCTCCCCCTCTTTCGTCGACCCTCCACCCTACCAAGCATGACATCCTTCTCCAGGGAGACAAAGGGTTAGTAGATGGAAATTGTAAAAACTTACCTGGGGTCATTTAAGAAGTTTAAGATCAAAGAGTTTCTCCTCTGTTGGGCTACCAGGCTGATGTGAGGAGAGAAGGACATGGATATGGCAGAGAGAGAACAGTGTGAGCCCAGCAGGCACGGAGCAGATCAAGTCCATTGCTAAAAGCAGAGGGTACAGCCTGTCAAGGGCAAGCAGGCTTGCCTTTGGAGCCAGATCCTGAAAATGCTGTATGGTTTTCAGGTGGACTCTCCCTAGAATGTTGGAGCAGATCACTGTGGTGACTACCCTATTGGTTGAAGGCCATGGCAAACTCAGAACCCAAGCCCAGGGCCAGCACTATCTCCAGATGCCTCTCAGAGGCCAGGCTGTCCATGGTTATGCCCTCAAAGGGGAGAGCTAGCACAAACCCAAAACCAGGCTTACGAAGAGGCTAAATGAGCTGCAGTTCTGCAGAAACATCTTGAGGTCAAGTTTTACAGACCTTCTTCACTATCCTAAGGAGCTCTGGTGGTGCAGTGGTTAAAGCACTTGGCTGTTAGCCAAAAGTTCAGTGGTTCAAACCCACCAGCCACTCCACAGAAGAAAGATGAGGCAGTCTGCTTCCATAAAGATGTACAGCCTTGGAAAACCAATGGGGATCACTGTGAGTCAGAATTAACAGCAGTGAGTTTGTTTTTTTTTGGGTCACTGTTCAATAAATATCCTTCGTAGGCATGGGGCTGACCTCTTATTCAAAGGAAAGGGACAGGAATTATTTGAATAAGTCATACACTTCCTTTATTATAATATTTTCCAAATGTAAACACTTGGTTCCACTTTATAAAATAAATGGCTAATCAATGGGATCAATATTTGCACTGATGTGGCATTTGATTTCTAGTCAAGCTAAGTGCATAACCATAAGTTTGAGTTGGAAGCAATCTTATAAGTCAACTATAACAGGGTAAACTGCAGCCCATGTGGGTTAAATCTGGTGGCCTACTCCCTATTTTTGTATGGCCTGTGAACTAAAAATAGTTTTTACATCTTTAAATGATGGGGGTTGTTGTTGTTAGGTGCCATCAAGTTGTTTCCAACTCACAGTGACCCTATGCACAGCAGAATGAAACACTGCCCGATCCCACGCCAGCTCCATGATCCTTGCTATACTTGAGCCCATTTTTGCAGCCACTGTGTCAATCCATTTCATTGAAGGCCTTCCGCTCTTTCGTAGACCCTCAATCTTACCAAGCATGACATTCTTCTCCAGGGAATGGTCCCTTCTGATAATATCACCAAAGTAGGTGAGATGAAGTCTGGCCATTCTAGCTTCCAAGGAGCATTCCGGCTGCACTTCTTCCAGGACAGATTTGATGGCAGGGCAGTGAGCATTTCATGACACATGAAAATTGTATGAAATTCAAATTTCAGTGTCCATAAATTGTCTCTGGATGCTTTTGTTCTTCAAATGGAATTGAGTAGTTGCGACAGAAATTGTGCAGCTCCCCAAATCAAAAATATCTACTGCCTGACCCTTTGCAGAGAAGGCTTGCTGACCTCTGATCTAGACAGGACATGGTGAGTGCCTAAGGCATTTGACTGCTGACCAGAAGGGTGGCCGTTCAAACCCACCAGCCCCTCCTCAGAAGGAAGATTAAGCAATCTACTTCCATAGAGATAACGCCTCAGAAACCCAAGGAGGGGTCGCTATTTTTGGTTTGGATCTAGACAGTAAAGTGCTCAATGTATAGGAGAAAACAGACCCACTCTCATTATTTAAGTTTACGTAGTTACAGAAAGAAAACCAGGAGGTTGATTAAAAAACAAACCCAAACCTACTGCCATCAAGTCAATTCTGACTCATGACCGCCCGCCCCCCCAGGGTTTCCAAGGATATAAAACCTTAGGGAAGCAGAATGCCTTATCTTTCTCCCATGGAGTGGCTGGTAGGTTCAAACCACCAGACGGTTTGGTTACAGCCCAATGCCTTAACCATAGCACCACCTGGAGGTTGATTAGTTTCCTATAAAACCCTTTGTTGTTGTTGTTATGTGCTGACCCTAACTGACATTAAACCAAAAAAACCAAAGGCACTGCTGTGGAGTCTTTTCCGACTCATAGCGACCCCTCCTTGGGTTTCCCAGGCAGTATCTCTACGGAAGTAGATTACCCAGTCTTCCTTCTGAGGAATGGCTGGTGGGTTTGAACCACCAGCTTTCTGGTTAGCAGTCAAATGCCTTAGGCACTGTGCCACCAGAGCTCCCTAACTGGCACTAATTGACAATCCTAGCTCCCTAACTGACAATCTAATTCAAGGGTTATATATAATATGAAATGTAACTTAATTCACTGCCATCGAGTTGATTCCAACTCAGTTATAGCAACCCCCACTGGGTTTCCGAGGCTGTAAATCTTTAGGGAAGTAGACTGCCCCATCTTCCTTCCCGCGGAGCAGCTAGTGGTTAGAAGAATAGGTGTCCATCCAGAGGTGATAGATTAGTTAGTTGGGTCAGGGTCTCTGCCAGTCTATAAAGTACCTTTGGGTGAATTAGATAAAGGCACTTCTCTTCAAGACACTTTGCTTTCAAGTGCTACAAATTTTCTTATTGAAAAAACATACACACCTTGTATCTGCACTATGAAGCGGCGCCCCCTGGGGGCTCTGCAGGGCTCAACTGGCCAGCTAGAGGGCTGGTGCCCTGGGAGAGAAGCCTCTGGGAGAACCCACCAGTTACACTGTGTGAGAACATGGCTGAATGAGGTGGTGAGGGAAGAAGCATGGAGTGTGGAGGGGCGGCCTTAGGAAAGGGGCTGGAGGTGGGGTAGGGGTTTTTAATCTCCACTGAATCAGTTTCAACTCATGACGACCCTATGTATGACAGAAGGAAATGATGCCTGGTTCTGTGCCATCTTCATGACCACTGCTGTGTTTGAGCCCATTGTTGTGGCCCTTGTGTCAATCCATCTCCTTGAGGGTTTTCCTCAGCCTCACTGGCCCCCCACTCTATCAAACATGGCGTCTTTCTCCAGTGACAAGTCCCTCCTAATGATGTGTTCATAGTAAATGAATCAAGGTCTCGGACACCGTTCTGTGATCCATAAAGTTTTCCTGGCCTAATTTTCAAAAGTAGACCACCAAGCCTTTCCTCCTAGTCTGTCTACGATGAGTGACCCTGCTCGTATTTGAAATACTGGTGGCGTGACTTTGGGCATTATAGCAAGATATAAGCTAGCACAGTACAAACTGATAGACGGGATGGGGGTGTGGTGGGGGCTGGATTGAAGACAGAAACTGCGGCTGCCCTGTTCCCCAGGAGCATGCTCACTAGTTGCTCATGTGAGGAACAGCTCAGTTACTAGCCAGTGTTACCTTTGTGACTTTTATTTCACTTTAAATCACTCATCTCTGTCCGTAATGTTTAAATAAGTTTGCATA